ATAATTATGTAAAAAAATAATCAAGTCAAAAAAATCTAGATTGTTATAAAAATAAATGGTGAAACCATGATGATCAAAATTAATATATAAATTGAAATTTTCAAATTTAGTTTTGATTTTTTAGTTCGGTTTCTATGAATAAACTGAAACCAAACTGAACCCAAACCAAAATATTCAGTTTGTAAATTTAACAAACCAAAACTGAACTGAACTAAAATCAGTGGATCAATTTCAGTTTGAATTAAACTAAATGAAAATTTTAATTTCAGCATTAGTGTAATCTTTAATCAAGAAATCTAACTTCCCTTCATCTATTACAAACCAATTAGTAAATTATTTTTCTTCAATTTTTTTACCTTATGTAAACTTACTTATAATCATATAACTAATATCTCAATTTTTTGATAGCCATACTTTAATCTACTGTATAAGAGAGATAATTACTTTTCCAATAGTTAAGTTTTTTAGAATATCAATCTTAAGAAGATATTGTAGAAGTACAATAGGAACCCATTCTTTACTTTTTATATATTCTTCTTCACTTCGATATGCAAAATGCTTTCTATATCAGACTGGAATTACTGAATATATATTTAATGCAAATTTAAAAGATTTTACTTGTACAAATTTATCTTATAAAAGTTTATTATTTGCTACTACTTTAACAAAATAATATGTTGAATATTTAAATCTCTTAAACCATGGTGTATATTCTCTTTGACCTCACATACTCGCTGGATAACATTCTTTTATATCAATACATATAATATCACTGATATTGTAATCAGGTATATTTTAACATTCACCATGTCTATATTCGATATAAGCTTGTTTTATAATATTATTTATTTTTCTAGTTATTGATTTCCATTTATTAATTTCATTGGCAAGTCGACTTCTAACATAGTTTGCACCAAATATTTGCTCTACTAAATTAACTACTTTAAGAGACTCTGAAATAATCATTTTTTTTTTCATTAATTATCCTTTCTCAATACTGTTAATTTATTACATTATCGATTAATTATTTATATGATTCTATAATTTCTATATATTTTTTCATGTCCTAAATATATAACCATCTTCTAGAACAAATTGTGATATTCTTTGATTCTCATCTTCCACTTCTATAAATCAGATTACTTGAGAACCTTGAAGAACGATATTAATAACTTCCCATATATCACCTTTGTAATATTCAACCATTCAATTTCTTGAAAAATATTAGTTTCTTGAAAATGTATAGCTATTATGAACTACTATCCTGATTTCTTCATACTTACTTGATCAATACTTTTCACTATTAAATATAATACTATGGATTATATCAAGTAATTTAATTGATTGTTTAAGAATTTTTTTCAATTCTGTTATATCTTGTACTTGAGCATCTAAAATGTGCATCCTTTTTTTCCATGTATTAATTTTTTGCTAACAAATTTCTGTGGAATTGTATCTTTTTTTAGCCTAATCAAAATACTTTATTATTCATTATGTTTTATAATTAAGTGTTTCATCTTTTATAAACATTAACTAATTAATATCTGATTTTCAGATTCAATATAATCTATATACTATTATATTATTATTAATTTCTTCATTATAATTATATTTTTGTAAAAATTTATTGTTTATTCCTATTTAAATCCTGGATTTGTTTTCTTTGTAAGTATAATATTTGAACCATTCAGAATATATTTATCATCTATCTTTCTTGATTCTCGAATAGGCTTATATTTATTAACAATTTTAAAGAATAACTCTTATTTACTACTTCTGTATATAAAATTATCTTGAATAAATTTTATTCTTATTAAATACTCATTATTGTCAATTGTGTTTAAAATTCCTTAAACCTATCTTTTAGTCATTCCAGTGTTAAATATTGTTAGTACTACTTCTTTCACTAAAACCAGTCTTCAGTTAATCTCTTCTTTATCTTTTATTCTTTTATAAAATCCTATTGTTCCTTCTACTTTTTTGTTAATTTCTTCCTCCGAATAATCTAGAATTAGGTATTTTAAAAATATTCCTTCTGCAAGTTTATCTTCACTTTTTACTTTCAATATTATATTAGCCAAATTAAGTTCCTTGACTCCCGCAAATCAAGTTGAAAAAGTATATTCAGTACTATCTATTTTGAGTATATCTTCTGTATATTGAATCCCTTTTTATCATACCTCTTGATACTCTTTGTTATTTGGAAATTGAATTGGCCATGATACTTCTTTATCTAAATTTAAAAATTTGTTTTTATGAACTAATAAATACTTTTCACGTTGAGTTTGAGTTTGTGAACCTGAACTAGTTTCAGGATCAATTTCTAACTGTATTATTGGAGATGGCTTATGCTGAAAATTTGTTTCCTCAATTTCAGGTTCTATTTATAATAAAGTATTATAAAAAATTTGATAAGCTCTTAAAGTTTGTGATTAATTATAATCTTTATAATATAATTTCTTATATCTTTTTCGTAATCTTGAATCTTATTACTTGACATATTCATTTAGCTTTCTGGTATTATAATTCTGAAATTATAAATTTGAATTGGTTATAAGTTTGAAACCAAGTGTATTTTGTATATTGGAAACTAATACAGTTATTTATAGTATAGGTTAAGTATTATGAGATAGTTGCAAAAGAGTTTGGTATGACCTATCTTGTGTTAATTTTATATGCTTATTAAGTTCTCAATTTTTTTCAGTTGTTGAGGTATATTCACATTCTAAATATTTACCTATCATATTTTCTGGTATTTTTTATTAGGATAATGTTGACAAATCTTTTGTTTAAATAAAAATTTATATAAATTCTATAACTTATAATATTCACATATCTTCAAATATATAAAGAAAAAAAAAAGTTTTATGTTTTGCAGTTTTATTCTTATCAACTTAACAAGAAAAGTTGACCTAGTTAAAAATGACGTAGCATTTACTTTTCTTGCATATCTTCTTTAATATTACAAAAAAAAATTTTTGATATCTTAAAATTAATGTACTAGAATATTTTCAAAGTTGTTAAAAAATATATTATCAATGGTATTAATTTGATTTTTTATTATATCATTTCTGATGCAGTATTTACATTTTTTATATATCACCTTTAATACATTAAAAAATTGATATGCTAGATTCCTTTCAAATTTTATTTCAAGCTTATCTATACATACTTTTTTTTCAATTTTTCTGGAATTTTTTGATACGAAAAATATAAATCATGAATAAAAAACATATAAAAAACATGTAAAAAACATGTAAAAAACATGACGCAAGTAATGAAAATTGTATATATCTTCCTTGTTACGCAAATCAAAAAACCTAGTATATATAGAAAATATCTTTGGAAAAAAAGTCTGCATACCCCCTCTGCTTCTAATACATCTATTATTTGAATGACTTGAGTTTTATAATTGATCTATTACTCAACTGACTTGAGTTCTACGATCTAATATACAAGTTGTTTATTACTTAAATAACTTGAGTTTTATGATACACCCATTATTCGAATAACTTGAGTTTTATGATCAACCCATCACTCAATTGACTTGAGTTTTGCAATCTACACATCACACCTGAGGTTATTATAAATACTTACTATTTTATAAGAAGTTAAAGTTTTATACTAAATAACTTTAATTAGTATTATATTTTATATTTTCTAGTTAAAATCAGAATTTTAATTAGACATGACTAAAAAATAAATTTCTTAATAAATAAATTTGAAACAAGGCCTCACTGGAACAAAAAAAAATGACTAAAAAATAATTGAAATTATTATTGATTATTTACTGTTTAAAGAAAATTATCAATGTTATTATACATAAAATATCATTTATGCCAATAAAATCTCAAGAATAATATTAAGTACTTTTGAAAAGAATATTATTGTATATTTACTATAAAAGTTTCAAGCCTATATCATATGAAAAAAATTAATTAATAACTAAACTTTAATAAATAAATGTTAATTGTTTCTTTAATTCTTATTATATAGATTTGAAACTTTTACAATAAATACAAAATAATATTGTCTTCAAGATTTTAATATTTTATTGGCATAAAATAATATTTATATGTAATAACAATTGATGATTTTCTTTAAACAGTAAAATAATCAACAATAATTTATTTTCAACTTAATTTCAAATACTAATTGTAGCACAAACTTTTTTTAAATGATTCTTAGATTAAAGCATATCATGTAATATCATGTTTTCTAAAATTAGATATTTATTTGTGCAGAAATTTTGTTTAAATAAAATTAATCAAAAAAGCCAAATCAAATTATTGATTGTAAAGTCTCTCAATTTTGATAAATATTTATCAAAGATATAAACAACCTTATAACAATTTGTAGTTATCAAATACAAATAAAAATGTTTATATTAAAATTCTCTCACAAATTATTCTAAAATTTACTATAAAAAGAGTCATACCAAAAAGGAATTCCAATTTTAGCTGATTTGTAATATAATTGATTTTTCTGATTTTTAGCTGATCTATAATGTAGGAATCACCATTTGGTACAATGATTCTTTTGTATTTGACTAATGATAATTATTCCTAAATTTGAAAATGAAAAAAACAAAGAAACTGTGAAAACTACATATATCACAAAGAAACTGCATATACTGTTGATTTTTTATTTTACATAATTATAATACAAATATTCAATTTTTAATTTTAATAAAATAATAAAATTTTATAAATTATAAATTATGAATGGATAATTTTAATTTAAATGTGATTTCAACTGAATTGAAAACAAATTCTCAACAAATTCCACTATGTTCTTTGATGTCACAGAGAAACATGAAAAAAAATTAGATCATCAAGTTTTATGATTGATTTTGATCAGCATTGCTTAATGATTTTCGTTTAATTTTATGTGATAAAATCGAATGGAGACATATGAAAATTAATGGGCTATCATAAATGTCTAGACCCCAAGTCTAGGTTAAGGATGTGTATCGCGTCGCGTGTATCCCTAAAATATCAATGGATTACTTCGCTTCAGTTGAAGCTGGCTTCTGGAGTTTGAAACATTATGTCGACTGGTTTATTAAAAATAATACTGAATTGCCGTTATGGGAGGCATGTTTGACAGACTTTTACGACTCTTTAGATTTTATGAACAGTCAAAGATCGATTCCGCGAATCTCTCGTTCTGTTGCTAGCAGAATCATTGGTTCCAAAGAGGTAAATATAATGACGAGAAAACTCCTTGAATGCATTATTTATAAAATCCTTCATAAATCAGGATTCTGAAACCAAAGCACTTATAGAAGACCTTCGAATACCGTACGAACAGGCATACAACGGAAAATATGGAAAGTCTATTTATAAGGTTGGTTGATGTTGAGGGCATTAGCACGGTTAATATTCGAATGGTAAACTTAAGCATAGTTTATCTATAATAGACCGTAGTACACGTGCAAACGGAAGAAAAAATATTTGAGTCAGCTAGTAAAAAAAAGAAAACACGTCGTTCTAAAAATCAGAAGGTAACTTTTTATTTCATCTTGTTAGATATGAGGATTGATTGATCTGATCTGTAATGTTATATTTGTGTTTGTGTTATAGGAGATTTCTCAGGAATTGGAAGTCTTGCCAGTAATGTCTTTCATATTATTTTGTGATTTGTTCCTCTTTGATGATGAAAACTGGAGCAAACTAATTATTTGTATTTTAGATAATCCATGATGAAACTGAAAGTGAAATCGAGAGCCAGAAGCACACAAGATCTCAAAATAGGCAAGTACAAAAATAAACCATCCTATGCTTTTTTATATAACCAGTGTAAATATCTGTGACACTCACAATACGTATAACCTATAATAATGCTTGTATCATTATTTTAGAAACGAAGAATTGGTAAAAATTACTGCGCAGGATGGTAAGAAGTCCCATTTTTGGCTCTTATTTAGGTCTTTGATCGTCTAACTTTGACATAATTATTTAATGTACAGATGGATTTCAAACTCCGCCTCATAAATTTGTCAGTAACACATACAATCCAGCGATATCAATTGATGAGAACATATTAAGAATGTCTTCTAAAAGTTTAGCGGAATTAGATGAATCCAAGGTATTTGTTTGATAGCTGATTTTTTTGATGCATATAATAAATACTCAATAGTTTACATTAAGCAGCACCTTGGGGAATTTATTCCACATTTTATAAAATATAAGAAATCACAAAAAAATAATCCATTTTCGTAAGTATTTGAGCTGCTTAAGACATATTTTATAATTTATAACTAATATTTCTCAATATATAGATGCACAAATGATGATGTAATGGATATTCAAGGAGGAAGTGGGTTTTCAAAATCTTTGTCACTTGTTGAATATATGGAATTACTATCAAAAAAACCAAGGAGGGAAGTTGAATTGCCAGAAGATTGGTGTAATATTGTTGAAGAATATTTTAAGGTAATTATATCTTAATATTTTATATTTGTCATTTGCAGAAATTATTAATTATATTATTTTATAGGAGACAACAAAAAGTGGATTAAAAAAGAGTGTATTTGATTGGATTCGTATCACGGAAGGGCTGGGAGTTGAAAAAGAAAATGATAACAAAGATCAAATAAAAATAAAAAAATATTTGAACCGAGTTATGCTCCCATTGTAAGCTTTAATCAAGGTTTTATTATTATTTAATTGTCTATTTGAATAATATTTTATTTTCATTTTTATATTTGCAGGGTTGAATCTTTTTCAAAACCAATTCCAGATATAAATGCCTCAAATACCAGTGAACATCATTATTGGTCAGAATTTGGTCATCATTTCTTTTCAAGAGCATTACAGGAATTTGTGGGTCTTGATTGGAGAGCGTAAGTATTGGATTGGATTAAGTTATTATATTATTATTTTCAATTATAATATTATGTTGAATTTATTTTTATTATAGCATGGAGGTTCCTGTTCAGGCCTCAAAGTATCGAAAAAATTATAGTCTTAATCATAATACAGATAAAGTAAATGAGGGAAAATCTGCTGACTTGTTGGCATGGATGTGGACAACAGGAGAAGAAATTTTTGTTGGTGAACAGGCTGGGCCTCCGACTAAACATGATTTAACAAAACTAGCCAATGATTCTTTTAAACTGTACAGAGAAATGAGGGACTGTCTAAATGTAAGAATTTTAAAGGCCATGGGCAAGGGTGATTTAAGATATAATGATAGAGCTGTTTTTGGAATATTTGGCTACCTTTTTGAAATTAAAATGCTCATAATGTGGAAAGATGGTGCATATATATATGAAGAATATGGATGTTTAAATATTGCATCTAACCTGGAACAGATTTCTATGATGAAAGAGGATATATTAAGATTACTGGAATTTATGGTAAGTTTCATTTTTATAAATATTTTTTAATTTATTTTTAATTGATTTATTTCAAATTAATTTTATTACAGATGATTATTAAAAATGAAGTAGAAAATACCATAACAGCAAAATTTAATAATGATACAGTACAAATATTAAAACGAAAATTTAATGAAATTATTCAAACGAAACCATCACCAGATAGTGCAGGTAAAGGAAAAAAAGCAAAAAAGGTGATAAGGAAATAAATAAAAATCCATATTAGAATATTACCTCCTTTAGAAAAATATTATTTGTTGTAAATTTGTTGTAAATAACTTTATTGAAAATAAAATAATAAATTGAGTTGTTTTTATTATACATTGAATTGAATATATAATTATTTATAAAACAAGTATTTCCCATTATCGAAAGATATATAAAAACTCAAAGTGATAAGAATAAATATCTTTTTAACTAATTTTATTTATTTTTATGATAAATTTGAATGAAATTCCTAGTGAGATAATAATCGTTATTCTTTTCATCATCTTAATCTTGTTACCAGATTGATTTTTTCTTTGTCTTTTATGTACTCTTTCAGCATAACACCCATATCAGTATCTGAGAAAAGTAATTTATTTCTTACTGGAATTATACTTCACGAATTATTATTATTATTACTACTACTATTAATATTATAATTATCATTATTACTATTATTACTACTACTACTATTATAATAATAATTATTATTGTTATTTTCACTCTAAACGATGAAGAATATGATGAAGAGGAAGGAAAACTACCCAAAGATGAAAATAAAGTAGTTGTTGGATATGACGTTAATACTTCGAGATTGAGAATGACGAAATGATGAATCATGTGAACGGTATTTGTTCAGATGAACCATAGGATTTCAATTTTGAATATTTTTCCACCATTCGAATTTTCTTCTTCTAATGTATCTTGACGAAATTGCATTCGAACATTTGGAACATTGGTTTTATGAATATCTATATAATAAAAATTTTGATAAAGTAATTTAATAAATAAATAGATATTGTATTATAAATACCGTTTTCCAAATTTATGGTCATCGCAAATCCACTTTGAACTACAGAATTACGTGCAAGTTCACTCATATCAGAAGAAGACAATTTTCCAAATCTAAAATAGTCAAATAATAATAAATAATCAAAACAATAAAATAATAATAAATAATGAATAATAAAATAATCCATACCTGAGCTGCCACACTATATTCTTCGATAAGAGATTCCTTAGTGTAATGAAATTGAAGTGATCACCCGTACTTAAACTTATGTTTAATCCTTTTTGAAAGAAAATTAAGAAAGGATTTCTTTCATAATTCAGGAATAACGCATTATTTGATAAAAGAGATATCGTTATTTTCCAATTTGTTTAAAGATAACAAAAGATATTGTAAGGCAGGAACTTCCAGAAAGTGATCGAAAGACAAGGGCATCCAATTAATTTCTCGGAATCGAATGATACATAAATATATAAATAAATATATATATATAAACAACATATAACACTTCTCCATTGATTTAAACTAGTCACATTTGCAAACATATAATATAAGTAATAAGAATAAGGTGGATTGAGATTTGTATTTCAATCTTTAGGGCAAAAATATTTCTTGTATCTTCCTTTCAGCTTTAGATTCACTATCTACACTATCAAATCATACTACTCTTTGAAGAAATATATGTATTTCTGGATGTGAACTGGAATCCTTTGTCACTTCAAATTATGGTTAGAATACATATATCTGTTATTAAATATTAAATATTATATTAAAAAAAAATGATTTAATGAAATTATTTTAATATAATCAATATAATCTCTATTATTTTTAAATCATTATGACTCACTCACTCCTTATAACGTCTTCGGAACTTTCTACAATTTGAGCATCTTTATATACATTATAAAGTCTTGGCATTTGAATAAGCCAACGAACACTTGGTAAAAATATTTTATGATTTATCACCCATTTCACTAATTTATCCCATTCGGATTTTGAACTAAATATTAAAATTATCAAGTCAAATCAAGTCTCATATACATATACGTATATATATTTAAAAATAAATTATTGCTAATATGAAAATTAATCTCTATTTACCGTCCGTATATTGAAATTCGATATTCAGCCATTCGATATTTGCTTTCCTCATATATATGTATTTTAAATTATATTATTTATTAAGAAATTTCACAAAATAAAAAAAAAATAAAAATAAAAAATACCTTTGGTAAGTTCAGCTAAATATCTTCCTGAATATAATTATCAGTTTTCAAGAAGATTTCCCACAATCGAGACAATCTCAGCAATGGAATCACAAATCAAATAAAAAAATATCGCATAATACTTGACCACGAAACAATATTTATAATTTCAATAAGATTATTTTCAAAAAATAATATTTTTTCTAAAATGAGATGATATTTATTGCACCATCTTTCCACATTATGAACATTTTAATTTCAAAAAGATAACTCAATATTCCAAAAATAGCTCGATTATTGTATTTTAAATCACCCTTTTTTCATGACCTTCAAAATTCTTACATTCAGGCAATCCCTCATTTCCTTCATTTCCTTGCACAGTTTAAAAGAATCATTAGTTAATGTTAAACTATGAGGTCCAGCCTATTCTCCAACAAAAATTTCATCTCCTATTTCCATATCCATGTCAACAAGTCCATAGATTTTCCATAATTTTTTCAATATTTTGAGGCCTGCACATGAACCTTCATACTAAAATAAAAATAATTCAACATAATATAATTGAAAATAATAATATGATAGCTTAATCAAATCTAATATTTATATTCTCCAAATGATGACCAAATTTTGATATTCACTGGTATTTGAGGCATTTATATCTGGAATTTGTTTTGAAAAAGATTCAACCCTGCAAATATAAAAATAAAAATAAAATATTAGTCAAATAGACAATTAAATAATAATAAAACCTTGATTAAAGCTTACAATGTTCAAATATTTTTTTTATTTTTATTTGATCTTTGTTATCATTTTCTTTTTCAACTCCCAACTCTTCCGTGATACGAATCCAATCAAATGCATTCTTTTAATCCACTTTTTGTTGTCTTCTATAAAATAATATAATTAATGATTTCTGCAAATGACAAATATAAAATATTAAGATATAATTACCTTAAAATATTCTTCAACCAATCTTCTGGCAATTCAACTTCCCTCCTTGGTTTTTTTGATGATAGTAATTCATACAGATTTTGAAATATTTTGTGGTACTTTCGGCTACTAGGAAAACGGAGCCATTTAAATATAAAAATATAAAAAAACGTAATTTTTTATTGTCTTGCATTCTTTATTTTTATCTCATAATCGTTATCTAAAATCGGACTGACATATTTTCCAAAGTTGCTTTTTTGATTTTTTTATGTTTTCATTGTAAATTATGCATTAATATCGAAACTTCTAAGGCATCAAAACGGATCACTTTACTCGTCCTTAAATGTCCTACGCTACGCTCTGGACAATGACAAAGCGACGTCACAAATACAATTGCATCTATGAAACACGTGTTTATTTTAAAAGTTAACCCTCAAACTACAAACGATTACTGATGTCTTCAGGTAGTAGTAACAGCATTAACCCATACCCACTCACCAACGGTGCTAAAGAGAACGGTTATAACTCGACGAACCAGAATTCTCAGACAACACCTCCAACAAGAGCTCCGCAGCCAGAAAGTCAAACTCAAAAAACTCAACTTTCTCAAACACCTCCTTCTGTTCGAAAGAAAGGCGTAAAGGACTTTGAGTTTGGTAAGACTTTGGGTGAAGGCTCTTATTCCACGGTGAGTTTCGGATTTGCTTTCAGTATGATGTTTTACTATTTAAAAAAGGAAACTTACTGAGGAAAGATATGTTGTTTGTGCAATATTTTCGATATTTTATTTTTTTTTTTTTAAAACTAAAATTAAATTTATTTCATCTCTTAGGTCGTATCTGCAAGAGACCGTACCACCGGTCGCGAATATGCTATAAAAATTCTTGATAAAAAACATATTATTAAAGAGAAAAAAGTTAAATATGTCAACATCGAAAAAAATACTCTTAATAAAATGAATCATCCGGGAATTGTGCGCTTATATTATACATTTCAAGATCCTGATAGTTTATGTATCCTTATCAATTTATCAAATCTATTAATTTGAATAAGTTCTAAGTTTTAAATGCTATTTTTAGTGCTGTTCTTTTTTTTTTTTTTTTTTAAGTACTATTCTATTAGTTTAAAAACAGACATTTAACAGATTAAGCTTAAGATATATTTCTTAACATAGAAATTTTAAATGAATAGATTTTGTCTTAGATCATGCTAAAAATGGGGAACTTCTCGCGTTTATAAAGAAGGTTATTATTTATTTATTATTATTTATTAATTATTTATTAATTTTTTAATTATTATTTATTAATTATTTATTAATTAATTTATTATTATTTATTAATTATTTATTAATTAATTATTATTTATTAATTATTTTAATTATTTTTCCCTTTTTTTTTAATACCCTTTTATATCTTTTTTTTTATTAGCTTGGTTCATTCGATCTTAATTGTACGCAATATTATACTGCACAAATTCTGTCATCTATAGAGTACATGCATTCTCAAGGAGTGATTCACAGGTAATAAATCTAATGTTAAGTATTTTTAATGAATATTTTAATAAAGTGTTATTTTAAGAGAGAGATATATATATATGTGTGTGTGTGTGTATGTATATCAGCAATAATTTTATTAACCATTTGATCCAAATTTTATAGGGATCTGAAACCGGAAAAGTAAATATTTTTTTATAAAAATTTACTAAATATCATATAATGATCTCAAAAATCTAATTTAATTTTGGGGGGTTCAAAGCATATTATTAGATGAGAAAATGCATGTTAAAATTACTGATTTTGGTACTGCGAAAATATTTGAATCTAACGCCGATGGTGAAGAAGGTTGAAGCGCATACATTGGGTTTTGTGTATATTAATTCATTCTTTTAAATTAAATTTTGCACAATAATTTTTATACATCATAAACTTTTATAGATGCTCGTGCAAATTCTTTTGTTGGAACTGCCGAATATGTAAGCCCAGAATTATTAAAAGAAAAAGCAGCTTGTAAAAGGTTAGTTATCTTAATATACTTCAATTATTTAACCTCCATAGTATTTAGTATTTACTTTGCTAATAATATTTATTGTGTCAAATTTTCATTTCAGTTCGGATTTCTGGGCATTAGGCTGTATCATTTATCAATTAATAGCAGGGCGACCACCTTTTAAAGGAACCAATGAGTATATGACTTTTCAAAAAATTGTCAATCTGGAATATACATTTCCTGAAGGCTTCCCCCCCGTTGCAAAGGATTTGGTCCAGAAATTATTAGTATGATAAAAATAATATTCAATTTATTTAATCCCCCTTTTTTTTAAAACAACATAATAACTTCTGAATTTTTTTAGGTATTAAATCCTTCCGAACGATTAGGATCAGGAGGTAATGCTGGGATAGAGAAATTAAAGATTCATCCCTTCTTTAAAGAGATACAATGGGATAAAATATGGGAAATGCCGGCACCTCGTTTACTACCTTATCTTCCACCAAATCCTCAGCATAATAAAGAAGAGCTTCGCACAAACACAAGTGCTTATTTACGTGAACTATCTGATCGTAGCGAAGGAAATAACAATAGTCCAATCGCTTCAGGACTTAAACAAAATGATCCATTCAGATTAGAAAGTTTGGTAGGTGGTGAAGATCTTTCCGAAAAAGTAGATCCTGAAAAAATTAAAAATTTGGAAGAACAAAAACGAACTTATGCGCAATGGTAAATTATCAAGAAATAATAGAAATAATGAACATTATATTTATTTTATTTAAAGAATTTAATGAATAAATTTATTGTATTTAATACTAATATTTATTCTTCTTGTTTTTAAGGGTTCGATTTTTATTTAAATCCGAACTCATTATTCGTGTTGGTCCCATCAACAAACGGAAAGGCTTTTTTACTAAAAAGTTTCTGTTAATTTTGACGGATTTCCCTAGATTAGTATACGTAGATCAAGAAAAAATGACACAGAAGGGGGAAATTTATTCGAATTCCCGAATGGTGGTAGAATTGAAGAATAAGAAAACCTTTTTCGTACACACGGTATAATTCCTTATTTCTAATCAATTAATTTGATTTTCTTTTAATTTGATTTTCTTTTAATTAATTTTCTTATTACTAACATCACATGATTTTTACGCAGCCACGGAAGACATACTATTTCGATGATCCAAACGCTACTGCTAATGAATGGGTAAACAAGATAAACGAACAACTTGTGGCAAATTATGGTGAGATATTCTGAGATGTAAGTCATAGGATTCGATAAGCATAATAATAAGAAATGGCAGTCTGATTTGATCTCTTTTATTTGCAAACTTACTTTATCATGGAATTCAATAAACAAAACAAAAAAGTTAGTTTGATCGATTTGGATTTACGATAAAATTATAATACAGGATAATTTTAGGAATTAGATCGTCGAGAATTATAATGAGAAATTTTTTTAACAATAGATTTTAGAGGAAAAGGAAGAAATGCTTTTTTTTTTTTTGTTAATTATTTATTCATTCACCAATCATTATTTATTTTATAAGAATTATTTTTTGGCATTTTTTTTTCTAACAAAATATTTTTAAACGCATTACACAAACACCTACAAAAACGCATCATTCATTTTTTTTTGTTTCTATGCATATTTTATTTATTTTTTTTTTTTTTGTATAAAGAATTTTTTTTTCTTTTCAAGATGATAAATAAAATTATAAAAACTCTCAATATGCTCATGAGTCAATGAAATTGATGATGTGCTGATACCATTTATAATGTTATATAAAAAACTTGGGAAATACTTTAAGGTGTAATAAAAATCAATAATTCGTATTTTTTAATTTTTTTTTTTTTATGGAATAATAATAATGAACATTACATTGGTTTAAAGGAATGATAAAGGTATTGTAAAGATAAAATTTTTAAATTAAATGTTGAGTTTGGTACGACGCCAGTGACGACGTTTAGCATTATATCTGTAAAATAGATAAATTACATCAGAAAAGTATAACAAAATTTCTAATAATTATGATAGAAAAAAATCAAAAATTACCGGATCCTATTCCCTGTACGAAGACGAATCCATTGAGGGATGGGACGATTTTGTTTTTGTTTTTTACCAAGAACACGTTTAATCCTGAAGCTTTTATGAGAAGGCTATATAAAATAAAAAGAATCGCAATGTAAAGAAACAATAATAACGAAATTAAGAGAAATTGAATGAAAATTCGTTTTCCGATAAACGATTCCATCCAATACCTCAAATTAAATTATAAACCTATCTAATGTATCACGCTTTCAAACTAACATTTATTACAATTACAATTGAAAATTGAGATTCTTTAAAATATGCTTACCATGGCGAAACAAGAGTTCTCTCGAAAATTCAAAAAAAAAAAAAAAAATTTTTTTTTTTCAAAATTCAACTCGAACCCCCAAGATTCAGGTCATTTTGTTCTAACCCCGGGTTTATTTTTTAACGTAACGCATAGTAATAGCCAATAGAAAAGCTTGTTTATCTTATCCAATAGGAATTATATAATAGATTATCTAAGTTAGCATTATTTTTATTACGCTTTCAAGATATATAAGATATTTTCAAAGTTTTTTTTTTATAACATTATAAATGGTATCAGCACATAATCGATTTTATTGACTCATGAGTATGTTGAGCATTTTTATAATTTTATTTACCATCTTGAAAAGAAAAAAATTCTTTATATAAAAAAAAAAAAATATGTATAGAAACAAAAAAAAATGATGATGCGTTTTGTATGTATTTGTCTAATACGTTTAAAAAAAATATTCTGTTAGAAAAAAATGTCAAAAAAATAATTTTTATAAATAAATAATCAACAAGGGAAATAAAAAAAAATGCATTTCTTCCTCTTCCTCCCTCTTCCTCTAAAATCTAATGTTAAAAAATTTCTCATTATATTCTCCGAATTTCTTGTTTTTTTTTTTTTTTTTTCTTTTTCGTAGATGAGCTCCTAAAAATTATCCCGTATTATAACTTTAAACCCAAATCGATCAAACCAGCTCTTTTGTTCTGTTTATCTGAATTCTATGATAAGGTAAGTTTTGCGAATAAAAGACATCAAATCAAACTACCATTTCCCATATCGTATCTTGAAAGAAGGAATGAATCTTTAATTTCTTTATCCCCCTGATCCTAATCGTTCGAAAGGATTTAATACCTAAGAATTTAGAAGTTATTATGTTGTTTTAAAAAAAGGGGGATCGAATAAATTGAAGATTATTTTATCATACTAATAATTTCTGGACCAAATCCTTTGCAACGAGGGGGAAGCCTTCAGGAAATGTATATTCAGATTGACAATTTTTTGAAAAGTCATATACTCATTGGTTCCTTTAAAAGGTGATCGCCCTGCTATTAATTGATAAAATGATACAGTCTAATGCCCAGAAATCCGAGCTGAAATGAAAATTTGACACAATAAATATTATTAGCAAAGTAAATACTAAATACTATGGAGGTTAAATAATTGAAGTATATTAAGATAACTAACCTTTTACAAGTTGCTTTTTCTTTTAATAATTCTAGCTTACATATTCGGCAGTTCCAACACAAAATCCAATGTACGCACTTCAACCTACTTCACCATCGGTGTTAGATTCTTAATTTGTTAAGAATTAATATGTCAAATTTCTATTAAAGAAATATAAAACACTTAAAGAATCATTACAGATTTTTCTTATATACAAATTTCAAATCTAAAACTATATTTGATCTTATTGTAATTGCATGTGATTTCAATTACCAATAGAAACAAAATAAAAATAAACTGTTGTCAGTAAAATCAGAAATAATAGCCAAAACATAAATATTTATTAAAATATGTTTTACAATGATAATGCCAAAAAAAGATATTCTATTGACTTAAAATTACTATTTAGAAAAAAATTGAATTAAAGTGGATAACCAATGAAAAATTCTGAGAAATTCTGAATTCAGAGCCTTCAAAGAATTAATCTAACCTTAGAGGTAAACGATAGATGGAGGGTTCTATAAGTCAAATGAACACAGCCATGCAACACAGCCTTTCATAGAGGATCTAAGGCCGAGATAATATCAAGATAATAACGAGAGTACAATCAATACCTGCATAGCCTTGCAGCGATCAATTGCAGTTCAAAAAAAAAAAAAAAATTTTTTCAATTATCTAATTGTCAATTTTGATTTGACGTGATAAAAAAATATTGATCTAATGAAAATACTTATCTCAATGTTGAAATTTCTCAAATGTTTGTTATATTTTTTTTTTAAAAAAAAAAACTCAGCTTAGCTTTATTTCCCGATTCTTAAAAAAGGCACAGTCGATTTCTTGATCCATTTGAAAAAGAAAAAAAAATCCGGTTAAAAGTTCAAAGCAACGACATGTAACTAGATCAAAAGACAATTTTTGCACCACTCATAAGCTGGTAAAATTAAACTTTACCTTTTTAACCACCGCCCCATCACACTATCAGTATTTTAATTGTATAAATATAGTATGTTTATGAAGTCTATAGATTTTCTTAATTTTATTTAATTATTTCATTTAACGTCTTTTTTGTCTTTTTTTATATTACTTGTCACTATTTCTATTTTTTATTTATCAATATATCCATATCTATATTTTTATTTTATATATATAAATTTTTTATATTTTATATATTTTTTTTTTAATCTTTTTTTTTTTTTTTTTTTTAATAATTTTTATATTATTTTTTATATTTAACTGAAACTGTTTACAAAAAAAAAAACGTTTTTTTTCCTGTTACAATAAACAAACTACTTAAAATCCTGTCAAAAAGAGGAATGATCACTTATTGTTTTTTTTTTTATTTATTGTATAAATAATTATTTATATATATGCATATAAGCTTTTTTTTTCATTCAAATTTTATCGAAATAATAAATTCATATTCATATTCAATTTTTTTTTTGATTTCCCCCCCCTTCTTATGCCCAATCTGCAGTTTCCTTCTCGCTCTTGCTGCACGGCGAAAAAAAATAATAATTGCAGTCTTTTGTCACTACTTCAATTTTCCCCTTTCCAAAAATTCGTTTTTTGCCTCCACAGGCTTCCCTTTCCATAAACTCGCACTCCGCCACTTAATAAAGTCGCAACGCCTCTTTTTGCATTTTGAAAGAAAGTCCTTTTTTTTTTTTTTTTTTTTTTCTCTTTAATAATAATAATAATATTATGAAACAACAGAAAGAAACTGTTGGTGCATGTTCTGTATTAGCACTTGGTCGTCAAAACATGCCACATACAAACTATTCTTCTTCTGAAGACATTCAAAGAAAGTTCCTTCCTTTTTATAGCCCAGATAATATGAATTATTCTGCCTCAATGATAGAACCATTTATGTCGGATGGTAATTACTATTTTTATCCATCATCTCTTTTTCCACAAGCTATCGGTTTATCCTCAGATACTTCGTCCCCTGATGAATGTTCTGAGTTGGATTTCTCTGATAATTTCTCTCCGGCCTCTTCACCTGGATATACTACACCTCCCGGATATACTTCACCTCCTGGATATGCTACAAGTCCTTTGTCAATTAAAATGGAGGCATCACATCAAGGTTCTTTATCTAACGATAATGATTATAATGTCGCTATGACTTTGGCCAAAGATATGCCAATGAGTCATTTATCTCCATATTCTACACAAGGTAATTAACCAAATAAATTAAATAAATTAAATAAATTAAATAAATTTGTTGTTAACAATTAATTAACAATTAACAATTATATTTTCAAATAAATAATTAAAATAATTAGGGCCAATGATTCATCCACTAGCAGATTGTTTCACTATGTCTGCAAGTCCAGAATCTCCCTTTGTTGGTGTAATTCATTCACCTCCGCAAGAAAAAATTTCAAGCAACCCCGCGGATCAATTGTTCGAAATGGATAAATCATTTTATTCTCGTGAACTTGCCGCGTTGGATGCCAGAGATTATTTTGGTACCGAAAATTTAGCCTCGGAAGCCGCTCGCCGTAAATCACTCGATGATGCCATCTTTCTCCGCAAGATTGCTTCAACTCCTGTGAAATCCGAAGTTTCTTTTCAATTGCACAATCGTCGTAAATCACTACCCAGTGATCTCACTCAACGTCTTCATATTGAAGCGTTACCTACTTCTACCAAGACAAGAAAGTCCTCTAAATCACTAGCGCCTTTCGCTTGCCCTCATGAACATTGTCCAAAAACATTCACACGGCAATATAATTTAAAATCACATTTACGCACACACACTGATGAGAGACCGTTTGTCTGTAATTACCCTGGATGTCCCCGTGCATTTGCTCGACAGCACGATCTCAAACGACATCAAAAACTACATCTTGGACTTAAACCTCATGTATGTGGTAATTGTGGTCGTGCCTTCGCACGATTGGATGCTTTAAATCGTCATTTGCGAAGTGATAATGCAACTCAATGTGCTCAAGCCACATTGGCTGGATCCGCAGCAAGCAAATTGTTCAAATCTGTAAATATATGAAGAATCTTTCATCTTGCATTTTTATTGGCTTGGTAGAAAAGACTTTTTGAAAAAAAAATTCAATCTTTTATATATCCTTTCTCTTTTTTTTTATAAAAGCGATTTGATTCAACTTTTATTATCATCGTTTTTTTAAAGATATGTAAAAGCTTATTTTTTTTTTGACAGTGTATAATATTCTTGTTTAATAATACGATTGGTTAAGTGGATTATTAGTTACTAATAATCAAAATCTTACCAATCTAATTACTTTCATGTATATTTTTTTTTTTTGTCCCGTTACCGTTGTATATAGTTTAACAGTGGTATAAAAATAAGAGAGAGAGAGTTCGAACAATATTCCATAAAAACTTCACGTCAATAAAAAAAAATTAAACGTAAATTTTTTACGTCTAGCACAAGAAGTTGTTACTTTGATTAGTCTCAATTCATTAAAAAAAACGAATCCTAGATTCTTCGAGATTATAAAGATTATAAACGTCTATTATATTTAATTCACTTTAATTTCACGAACGAACCACTTAAAAAAATCACGTTTTGCAAATAGAACACATTTTTAATGTGGCTGTGTTACCGAGAAAGGTAAGAACCTATGAAAATACTTTCGATTAAACAAACAATTAATACTCTTTATCTAATTGCTGATATAATCATGTTTTAATTATATAAACTACTTAAACGTTGTTAAAATCTTTGCACGTGTCAACTCAATTTAATATAATATCGGATAAATGAAAAGTGAATCCACGTTTCTTGCATATTCAAGTATTTTATCGCGGAAATTTTTTCATATGAAATCGGATCTGCAGGGGATTACATTCACAAGTTATAAATTATTTTTATCACAAATGCAGGATAACTTTTAATCAATTTATATAATAATATTTAAAACGTTAGATATATAAAGCTATATATGTGCACGGAAATAAACTTAAACAGTAAATTATTTCCCTTTTCTAGTAAAAAAAATAAACAAATATAAAAGTTTGTCTGTACCAACAGGAATTGAATCTTCCATTATTATTATATAAATTAAGATTTCTTAAAGAGAATGAGCATGTCAAATTTCATAACAATTGGATCAGTGGTTACCAAGAAATTAACTCTTGAAAATTGAAAT